TTCCCCTTGTCGTCTCCTACTTTTTGCTGATGATTCTAAAATTTTTCACACGATTACCTCAAATAATGATTGCCTCACTCTCCAGAACACCCTTGATAAATTCACCAATTGGTGTAGTACGTTTAATTCATCTCTTAATATCTCTAAATGTAAAGTCATGACTTACTATCGCTCTAAGGCAGTGATATCTTTTGACTATAGACTTGATGGTATATCTATTCAACGTGTTAGCCAGGTCCATGATTTAGACATTTTATTTGTACCTTCTCTTAATTTTAGCCCTCATATTGATTATATGACCAGCAAAGCCTTTCGTGCTTTGGGATTCATAAGGCGTCACTCTACTAATTTTAGTTCTGCCAACTGCCTTCTAGCTCACTATAATGCTTTAGTCCGTTCGGTCATTGAATATGGGTCTATTGTTTGGTCACCATATACCACAGTTGACATTTCTCGGATTGATCGTGTACAAAACAGTTTTATGCGTTTCACCGGTTATTGCCTCAACATTCCTCATCCGCCACATGATTATGGGCCAGTAAGCCAAGTTCTGAGACTAATTCCCCTTTCTGTAAGGCGTGATAATTTTGATATCACTTTTATTCAGCGTCTGATCGAAGGTCAAGTTGATGCCCCAAGACTACTTGGAGAACTTAGCTTTCGTATTCCTAGTAACACTAGGCTTCAGTGTAATTTTTATATACCCACCAATAAATCAAACTTCTCCAGGAATGCCCCACTTATAAGGATGATGCATAATGCAAATAATCATATAGACTACTAAGCCACATGAAATACGAAGGCTCACATTTTTTATTTTTATTTTTTCATTTTCACATAACTTACACCATGTTGTTTTTTTTTTTTGGTTTTACTTACTTACTAATTCTTTTTCTTCTCTCTAATATTAAATTAGTATAAGTTACGCGTCTTATATATATTGTATATGTTTTTTTTTACTGTTATCTATGTACTTCTTGTCTGTAATTTTGTAAAAGCCGTCTGGCGTTGATTATAATAAAATAATAATAAAAATAATAATAAAATCATTTTTCATAAACATTATAATCAATGGTGTAATAAAATATAGGTAAATAGGTCATATTATTAATTTATGACTTATTTTTTTTATTTATTTATTTATATTTATTTTTTATTTATTTATTCCTACATCATGTGATTTTCATTTATAAAATATAATTTATATGTAGGTACCCGTACCTACTTGGTTTTAGACTTAAGGTAATTAGTTGTTTTTCCAATTAAAACATTATTTATACATTTTATAATTTAGTAAGTATTTGTGTTTTATAGATTAATTTTTTGTCCCCCTCCCCCCAGAGGCGGATTTATCTTTTTTACGGCTATAGGCACCAATAATTTATCGCCTCTATATTAGGCGAAGAAGTTTTATAGTCTTCCGAAATATCTAATCTAAATATTAAATATATAAATATATGTACCTATATCCATTTGAATGTTTAGACTATTTTTTTCGCTTTTATTAATTAGTCTACTTTGAAAAAATATCAATGGACGTCCACCAAATTTTATTAAAAACAGATTTTCATAATAGCAGCAAAGGATTATTAATATACAGTCGAATTAGTAATATAGTGTGGCAGTGGGGGTATTTATTTTTCCCCAAAATTCCGACGATAACATACTAATAAAATGCAACCATTATTATACAATTATTTTTCGTAAATATAAAGTAAATAATTTTCCAATTTTTTTTCGCATACGATGTTTTCTAATAAAACACTACAGAATTAGCCATCCCCAAATTTTGCCGCCCTAGGCAGCTGCCTACAGTGCCTAATGGGAAATCCACCTCTGCCTCCCCCTATGGAAACATTTTAATTGCTTGAGTAGGTGGGTAATTTCTCGATTTCCGCCGAATATAGTTAAATTCCGTGCCATTGGTCTACATTTTATCTATATTAGACTTATTATTTAACTACAAATTACTCAAAGTATCTTCATTAAATTATTTGATTTTTTTTTAATGAAGAAAATTCATTAATTTAAAAACTATTAATCTTTTGGAAAATACTTTTCTTACCTACATAATTTTAAGCTTAATCAGTATAACCATACATATTTTTAGCTAATCTATTTTTTTTCATATAACAATATTTAACGCTCACTATTTTGTTGCAAGTGTATTACTTAAACTAAATTTTTTTTAACTTAGTTGAATCCGGGAATGTTATTGGTCCAGAAGATTCTAATAAAGTGGTGAATAGCATTGAAAGTGATGCATTGTTGGATTTCAATAAGCAACATCAGTTAAATTCTCCAGGTAAAATGACACATCATCTATTTTATAGTGCTACATTCAACTAGGTGTCCGATAAAGTATGGGAATTGTAAAGGAAAGTATTTTTCTTTATTGATTTGTTATTTCTTGTGTTGTAGCAATTCAAAACCAATGTGCCAGTACCAGTCAAGAAATGATCCAGACAGACCAGACTCAAATAGCAATTACAATAGAAGGTATTTTAACAATAAATGTAAAATATTATTATAAATTGCCAATGCAAAGTTGTAAAATAGTCTAATCTATACAATTAATAGTACATTAAATATTTAATAATATAAAAAGAATTTTCTTCTATAAAAAATTAATTTAACTTGTTTAGCTCCCACTCAAATTTTTCAATTTTTTTCTTCTAAATTTGTGTATTTTAACGTTTTAAACAATGGTGCATAAAATAATTCCTAGTCGGAGATAGTTATAAAAATAATGTAAACACACTATTTTATTTTATTCAAATATCAATAGAAATTAAAATATTTATACTTTTGTACTTTTATTTATAAATAGAAATAATTAATGCTCAAATAGTCATTATTTTTAAATTTTGTTTAAAATTTGTTTAATATTTGTTTTATTAGGTATTTTGCTTTAAAATAAATTTATTAAATTGTAGTAAAATTTAAAAATTGTTAATCTCAATTATTAATTACTGATGTTTATTACTATATGTGATTCTGATGGCTCGTCAATTAACATGGATATGTTCAATGAAGTCACAGCTAATTTTGAAAGGTACCCAAATGATCCAGCTTTGGTTAACTATTCTCAAATAACTAGTGAATATTTTGCATATATGATTTCCATTGGACCATGTCAACCTTTAACTTCAGATCTTCCCGGTAAATTGTCCTTTAAAAGGAAGCAAAATAATATTGTTCGATCATTTAATGACAATTACTATTACAAAGTATCACCTGATAAGTCAACTGTAAAAAGAACTTGGGTCTCCTATTCACCTTCGGTAGACAGAGTTTTTTGTATTGCCTGTAAACTATTTGGAACAACTAAAGGAATAACAAAAGCACTGTCTAGAGAAGGGACAAATGATTGGCAACATATTTCTACTAGACTTAATTAACACGAATCGTCTATTATTCATTTGAACTTTATTATAAGAAATTCCATGTATATTAAGAATAATCGAGTAGATATAAATGATATTAGACTAACTTCAAACAACAAAGTAACCGAAAATAGAGAAACAGTAAAAGTTATAATTAAAACAGTTCTTTATCTTGCAAGGCAAAATATTCCATTTCGAGGACATGATGAGAGTGTACTTCATTGAATCGAGGAAACTTTTTGCAACTCATTAAGTTATTAGTAAATTTAGGGACTTAAAGCTCTAAAATATACACAAATATGCTTCTAAAATCATTAAAATATGCATTATAATATGCATTAAAAAAAAAAAAAAAAAAATGACCACATAGTACACAAAATAAAACGTGTCCATCGGATGTAAATGTATCTTTAAACTCCAAAACAAAACTTTATAGTCGGTTACTCGTAGACTGTTGTACTTCGACATTAAACAATGTTATAAAACACGTATGACGTTTTATGTATGATTCAACGTTGCGTGGTTGCGAGACGCAAAAATAACGACGGATAATAATTGACTGAACTGAACACTAAATAAACAATCTATTATTCTATATCAACTATTATCTTTATCGACATCCGGTCGATATCCAGATACGATCGATACAGATTAATAGTAGTATTTATACTTACACAAAAATTATAATGAGATATGTGAGGTAGTTTGCAGATAGTATATTACTGGAAATATTAAGTACTAATTATTAGGTACATTTTTTTTTCGATCGTTTGAAACATATATATATATATATATATAGTTAAATGTATCTATAGTTTTTAATTTTAAATTTGGAAAATTTGTCAAATTATGCAAAATAAGCATAAAATTTTAAAATATGCACTCTCCTGCAAAATCTATCAAATATACAAAAATATGCACATTCAATTTTTATATCTGATATCATGACTTCGAGAAACGAATTTATTTCGTACTCTACTATATTAAACAATAATTAAAAAAAGTATGCAAATGCTAGAAGTCCCTAAACTTAGTTATTAGCCAATCATCAACCTATACTCTCTCATCATATGGCAAAAATAGAAAATTCTACAAAAAAAAAATCGATTAACCTTCTTATGAAATATTAATCAAAATACTATAATTCATATGCTTGGTGAAATTGTATGGAAAAATATTTTAAATAGTGTTGCAAAAGCAGGCAAGTTTTCCGTGATCATTGATACAACCACTGATGTTGCTGGTTTAGAACAGTTCTCCATGATTTTACGTTTTATTGATGAAAGTGGTCAAATTAAAGAAAAACTAGTATCTCTGAAAGTAGTTGATGATCTGGTCGTGGTATGTTTAATTTATTTTATATTTGTACCAAGTATGGATTAAATTGGAAATCAGATCTAATTGCTCAATCATATGACAATATAATCCAAGAGCGATTTATGTATGGTGTTTTTCTCACGTATTGAATTTAGTCGTTGATACGTGTGATAGTTGTAGACTATCAATATATATGCTATACATGCTGTAGTAGGACTATCCGTATTTATAAGCAAATTTTAATAAGTATATTTTTTATACTTATAAGTAACTTTATAAGTATATTTTTTAGTCCACCTGTAGACTATGTGGCTGCGTAATAACTTTCGTATCATCGGTTGTATTCAACGGTATTTCAATTTTAGAAATATCAGTTGGTAAACACGTTTTAGATTGAGAATATTCTTCTGTGGGGATCAATTCCGGCTATAACCAATGAAAATATTTAGATAAGTTCATATCTGATTTAAAAAATTAATTTATACAAAAATAAATACTTACACTTCCTACAATTCTAGTAGGGAAAAAAGAATGAACTTTTGGAATTTTCTGAAGTAGTTCTTCGTTATTTTTCTTTTTTTTCTTTTGCTGCTTTTTGGTAAGCTGCACCACTTAATTTAATTCGCTTACCAGACATAGTATAATAAATTTATTGAATGGTAAACATAAATTTAACAAACACAACACTGTTGTCTATGGAAATTGCGTCGAGACTGACGAATGTGGTCGTCGACAGACAACAGTCGATGATAAGATTACTAAAATGATTATTAGTCAAATACGTATTTTTGCGATTATTATTAGATCATACAGCCCGCATTGCCCACAACAGCAAACAGGCGATAGCTCTTCGTAGTAATTGAGTCACTACTATTGAATATTTGATAGATAAAATTATTATTGGTATTAATATTATTAATATAATAATAATTATTTTAAAAATGTAATACGTAACGGAGAACGTATAATATTAAAATATGATATATTTTCTAAAAATCTGCCGTCCCTCAAATCACCTTAAAATTGCCGCCCCGGGGCAATTGCCCCCCTTGCCCCCCGTTAAATGCAGCTCTGCTCGTATTAGATAAACATAAATAATTCTCGAAACAGTTAAAACATTCATATGTCAAGAAAATGACGACTAACACTATTCTGCAATAAACTATTTCCAAGGCTGGGCATTACGAGTTAAAAGTTAAAATTAAGTTAAACCGTTAAGTTAATTTTAATTAAGTTAATTAATTCGTTAATTTTTTTACAGATTAACTTTTAACTTAATAAGTTACTTTTTTTTAATATTAACGTGTTAACTGTAAGTTAATTTTATTTAAAAGTAGCTTAATTAAGTTAATTTTAGTGTAAAAAATAATGCATATTATTAAATGAAGTTTTTGGTATATTTATAATTAACTATTTTAATATAAATTTCCTGTAGACGATAATAATATGAAAAATAACTTTAATAGTCATTATATAAGGGTTATATTTTATCATTATATTTTTATAACATTATTATTATACAAACACTGTAAGCCCATGGAAATCCTAAGAATATTCTGTGAAAATCGAGAGCGAGTGTCGATGGGGGATTAATCACAAAACAACTGTGATATAATTTCCAATTTAATTTTATTATTCAATTACCATGTGTTCTGTTCATAACTCGTTATTATTTATTATGTATTGTTATTAGTTTATTACTTTATTAGCTTATTGTATTTCTGTGAAAGTTTATTATTTTTGATTCTTGATTTTTTTATAGCTAGTTAATACTTTTATGTATCATTTTAAATTTCCCCAGTAATTTTCTTGAGCGTATAAAAAACTAATATTATGTGTGTAATTTTTTATTTTTGCAAATTAGAAAATTTTAACTTTAAACTAAGTTACTTTTTTTCAAAGTTAAATTTTAACTTAACTAATTAACCAAAAAAATATAAGTAACTTTTAATTTAACTTAACTTTATTATTTTAAAATAACTTAACGAGTTAAAAAAAATCGTTAACTTGCCCAGCCCTGACTATTTCTATCAGTAGCTATTTGAATTTTTGCTTTGTATACAAGGCATTAGACCAGCGGTTCCCAACGTGTGCACCGCGCCGTCATGAAGTACTATTTGGTATACAATTTTTCTTATAATTAGTCATGCTATTACTTGGGGAAGAAAACCCTGAAAAAACCTTAAATCAAAAAGTGCGCCGTGAATCGAAAAAGTTTGGGAAACTCTGCATTAGGCAATTGTAGAATCATTTACTTCATGTTTGTATTTCGTTACCGAACGACGGCGTCGCACACGAGTGTAGTTCGTATTTGAATATTTTTTCAATAAAATATATTAGATCTATTACATATGTAAGTACCAATTATATATATAATAAATTAATAAACAATAATAATAGCTCATTAACTAATGTGACATGTGAGTCATAAGAAATATATTAATGCTAACATAAAACATTAATGTAATTTGCGTCGTCAACTGACTGACTATTAGTATTCATTTAGGACCATGTTAACCCATGTAATATTAATTTTCTGTCCAGTGTATGAAGAGAAAGTTTCGACTTTGAATGCAGGATTTGTCTGAAAAAGCTTAGACGGGTGTTTAAGTTATGTACAGTGGATATAGTGGGACCAGCTAATTTTTATACCGAAATGTACTCCAAGGTAGGTATTGTGTTTACAAGAAATTATGATTATTTTAATTATAGTATTATATGCAATTTTAATATATTTACCATTTAATTGATTTAATAATTATAAAATATAATTTAGTAATATTGATTTATTAAGACTTTTAGGATAACACATTAAACATTGTCTTGGTAAAAATTATTTATTTTTACATTATTAGCATACATTTTAACATGTGTTTCATTATAATGTACAAATGTATAATATAATTTTAGAAGGTAACAATAATTATTTTAGGTACACACAATATTTATAATAATATTAATGACAAATTTGTATTCAACTTATCTCTATCTACAAACACACAAAGTTAATAACTAATTACAGGGTACAATGTATTTTACTCACATTTTGAATAATGGCTTTTAACAATAATTATTTATGTATAAACTGATGAATAATTTATGAATAATTATATAAAATAACAATATACACCAAAAGCATTAACATACTAATCAATTGAGAAAAATAAAATAAAATAATATAATACACAAACAAAAAAAATCACGAAAAAACATAAAATTATAAAATGATTATACACTCTCATCATGTAAAATAATCATTTTATTTTCACAAGATGAAGAACTATCATCATCTTGCTCTAAAATGATGTTGTTCATATTATGATGTTTGGGTTCTAAGCCCATTTCATCAACTTCTACTTCTGAGTCTTGCTTTACACCTACTCCATTACTTTCCTGTAAAATGTATTTATTTTAGTAACACAGTTATACTCAGTTTAATAATAAATGAATAATGTATATAATTAAATTTTAATTTAAGACAAATTTATAAATTTAGTTTGAAAAATATGTTTCATAGCATATAATTTTTATCTTTACTAAATGAAAATAAAACTTTAACCTATGAAATTGATATGCATTTAAGGCCGAATTAAGCATCTATTGGGTCCTGGAGCTGAAATTTGATATGGGCCCTTTTGACAAAACATACTTTACAAAGCTGCTCGCATAGCGAGCAGAATGATACATTTTTTTAACTATTTCACAAATTGTCAATTGCATTATAAAATTATAAAATTAATAGGTATATACAATTTATGTCAATAAAACTACTAATTTTAGTATGATGAAAAATGTGTATCGGCTTAAAATTGTTTGGGCTCCAGAGCTACCGCCCCGCTAGACCCCCCCTTAATCCAGCCTTGTATGTATTATATTCATAAATATACTACATTTAAATTCATACCATCATTTTTTGTTTAAGATGAGTTCTAATGTGTTTTTGTAAGTGGTCACTTCGCATAAACCGCTTGGGACATTCATTACATTGAAATCTTTTCTCTCCTGTATGTGTTCGATTGTGTCTCTATAATTAAAATATGTTGAGAATTAACTTATATTATGCTATATTAAAATGTATTAATTTTTGTAATTCTTATGTTTTGTTTTTATATTTATAATTTACCAGAGAATAAAATAAATTGTACCTGTAATTCATCTGACCGAGTAAACCGTTTTCCACAGTGTTGCCAATTACAAATAAATGGTCGTTCACCTGTGTGCCATCTAAGATGAGCACGCAAATGAGAAGTTTTGCCATACATTTTATTGCAACCCGGCACATGACAAACATGCACCCTCTTACCAGCACTATTTCTGTAAATAAAATGGATGTTATAAACACTTTAATACAATACAAAACAATATACTTATGAGTATTTTGTAAGTACCGTTTTTCTCCATCACAACAATTAGGGCATGTACAGGCTACTCTTCTTGTCCGGGGCTTTTCTTCTCCCGGAGAATCATATTCAGTAACTGAACTTCCATCCTGGAACATTGTTCCAGAAATTGGAATGATTTGCCATTTTTGATCCATGCTTTCTAATTGTTGACCAGATGCTAAATAAAAACCATTTATAAGTGAATATTAAATAACACACTTAAATTAATTAAACATACTTGCATTAATGAGTTGTATATTTTGCAAACTTTGAGGTAATGTTTGTGTGTTATTAGATGTACCTTGCCCACCAAGAGAAGTGATAATTTGTACAGTTCCAATCCCAGGAATATTTACAGTTTGTGGATGATTTGAATTTTGAGAAGCTGGTAACTGTTAAAATAAAATTATCTCTTTATAATAAAAATATTGATTAAAAATAATAATCAATAAATTAATATTTTAGTATATAATGTACAAATACTGATTTTGTTATAAACATAAAAACATTCAAAGGGATACAATATGATAATAAGTGAAATCTTAATTTATTAATTTATTTTAAATATTTTAATTTCAATTAATATAGAACATATTTTTGGTATTCTACATACCTTTAATTTACCCATTATAATACCAATCAATTGCTTTTTCATTTGAATTTATTAGATTCAATTTTATACTGAAAACTAAATAACATTTTCATTGAAATTTATAAAAGAAAATATCATTAATAAGTAATAAGATGATATATACTATATTCCAAAACAATTATTACGGTTTATATTGAAAATATATATATATGGAAAATATGGAATTTATGGAAAAAAAATTCTTTCCCCCAAAGTTGGAGAAACAGTACAATAATTCCAATCCTAAAACCAAGTAAAAATAAATTCGAAGTCGACGGATACAGACCTATTTCTTTACTAAACAATATGTGTAAAATACTTGAAAAAATAGTTAACACCATCTTAATATGATTCCTCGAAAAAATCGGCTACCTATCAAAATTTCAAAATGGGTTTCACAAAAATAAATTTACAATAAACGGTCTCATCCATATTCAAATAGAAATCAATTAAGCGTTCCAAGACAACCAATCAATGAGCTTAATAAACTTAGATATAGAAAAAGCTTACGATACCACCTGGAAACACAGAATTATAACAAAATTAAGCTCTGTCTTGTGTCATGGTAACCTACTAAATTATATCTCAAATTTTTTACAAACTAGATCATTTCAAGTTAAAATAGGCAACACTTTTTCAGACACATTCACATAAGAAAACGGTATATCACAGGGATCAAGTATTTCAATTATACTATTTCTAATTGCTATTAATGATATCAGTTAATGTATACCTAATATTATATAATACACCTTATTTGCTAATGACCTTAATATTTTTTTAAGAAGCAAACATACAAAGTCAATCCAAGATCTATTACAAGTAACCATAAATAATATTTCAAATTGGTCAAGCCAAACAGGCTTTAAATTCTCACCAAGCAAATAACAAAGTATTTGTTTAAAAAAAAAAAAAAAAAGAAATATACATCCCCCAATTTTTCAAATAAATGGATTAACAATACCAAATAAAAATATCACTAGAATACTTGGAATAATATTTGATAAAAAACTGACATGAAAACCCCATATAAAATATATAAAAAAAAGAAACAACACTAAGATCTAACGTTTTAAAAGTCTTATCACATACTATTTTAAGATTCTGGACCCAAACACTCATTCAAATATATTAATCACTTATAAGATCTAAATTAGAATATGGAGCTGAAATTTACTCATCTGCCAAAAACCTTATGTTAAAAATCTTCGACCCTATTCATAATTTGAATTTACGACTACCAGAGGATTCAAATGTAGTCCAGTTGAAAGCATCTACGTAACAGCTAATAAACCTCCACTTTGGATATGACAAATTAAAATTGCTTCTACATTTGCTGCTAAATTAAAAAAAAACGACCTTAAAGCATTAATACCAAAACACATTATTCAGATTACAAAAAACATATCAAATAAATCTTTCCAGTATAATAAAATATGAAACTATTCAACCAATATAAATATAAATGGAAACGAAAAGCTGATAGACACGCAAAAAATGCAGTTTTATCATAAGAAATCCCAAAGTACAATCAATTAACATTCTTAGACATAAAAAAAACCATAGCAATATGCACATTCAATATTTGGCAAAATCACTGGTCAAAACAAACAACAAAATTAAACAAAATAAAACAAAACATACATCCATGGTCACAAATCCACACTTCAAGAAATATAAATATAATAATTAACAGATTAAGAATCAATCACACCCAGCTAACACATGGATATCTAATGGACAAAAAAGAACAAACAATCTGCACCTCATGTAACAGGACACTAACAATAAAACACATAATAACAGACTGCCGATCATACCACTCAGAAAGAATAAAATACAGCGTTCCTACAATTTTGTACAAAAACATTGAACCAGAAATAAATGTTGACCTTATTTCTTTTCTCAAAGACACTGGACTTTACAAACTAATTTAAAAAACAATATTTATATGTATAAACAATTAAAATTTAAAAATGTAATTAATGGCTTCAGCATCCGAAGTTGTAAATCAATAAAAAAAAAAAATATATACAAAATATGTCATAAGTTTCATATTATTTTGATTTATTTTGTTGTTAATTTTAAATTAAAAAAATATAATATTATATTTTAACATAATAATAATTGTGCTTTAAGTAAATATTTTAACACAAAAATATGTGAACAAATTAATAATTACAAGTGTAGGTACATGGATTTATAGAATCAAATGTTAATTTCATGTGAAATAAGCTCTACTAAAAATATAATAAACTATACCTGCACGACATTATTTCCCCTGATAGTCACACCATTGTTGTTTTGTAAAAACTGAGGAATGTTGGATGTTGGTATTACAGTTAACTGCTGAGGATTATCTAAACAAAACATACTAAATTAGAAAAAATATAACAATATATTTTTTTTTACGTGAAAAAGTTTTCAGTTTTTATAATGCTTACTTCCAAGCGTTAGTTGTTGAGGTATGAGTTGCAAAGTTTGTCCTGACTGGGTTTGAATTGTAACTGGTTGAGGTTGTGGGCTATTTTCATTGCTACTTGAAGAAGAATTTGGTGATGGGCTTGTCTAAATAAAATGTTTTATTATTAAATATTTATTATACTTGAATATTATTTAAATGATAATGTTGACTTACATGCATAACGTTTGGGGAAGTGGCTGGAGAAGTAGCATTTTGATACTGATTATTAGCGCTAGATGTATTAACTATTTGTATTTGTTGACCATTACCCATTGGTGACGCTATTTGCACAGTCTGTATCTGACCATTACTATTTACTATCTGTGCCATCTGAGGTGTCTGAGTCATTTGGGTCAATTGAGGTATTTGCATTAACTGACCTTGGTTGGCCTGTATGATATTCGGTAAAGAAGAAGCAAAGGATTGTAAAGGAAGATGGACTGTTTGATATAAAGTCTGACCATTTGATGATATTGGAACTTGAACAGGTATAGTTTGCTGAACGGACGGCAACTGTACTACTTGTGGCATATTTGATTGTCGTACAGAAATATTTTGGCCTGATAATTTAAATGAAGATATACATTTTGAACACATTTATAAATATTGTTAATTTGCGTGTACCTGATTGAAGTTGTATTGTTTGCAATGGTCGGACTATTTGTCCAGTAGGTGTAAATATAGTAGGCGCCCCTTGACCAGGGTTAGAATTTGTAGGTATAAACAATGCTTCTTGTCCATCAACAGTTATTGTTTGATTATTTTGCTACCATAGAATAATAAAAATAAAAAATTTAGATTCATAGATCAAATACAAAACTTTTTTGTCTAGCCATAAAATTTCAAAGCCTGTTCTAAAAAATATTATCTACCTGAATAAATTGACCAGGCAACCCTTGTACTGAAAATATTGGTTGTATTGTTGGGCCATTTGATGTTATGGTTTTTATACCCTGATTTTGTTGGTTCTGAGTTAACTGTTGTAATTGTTGCACAGGCAATAAATTCTGCAAATTGGCCAATGTGATAATTTGAGGTTGGCCATTATGAACTTGCACTATAGTAGGCTGTTGATCTTGTTGCTGTTGCTATTGTAAAAATAAATCATATATTTATATATATTGTAACAAATAAAAAATGTCTTACAATAAATATATTTTATTAGGTAACATACTTAACAATAAAGTAGTTTTGATATTCTTGTAGTATGCGTCTACCATTCACTTGTAGTCTACCACGCATGTTTCTTACGTTATATACAGTCTACTGCAAACCTATCACCTGCCGCGCATATATATATATATATATATATTGTAGGTTATTCCTATTGATTCAAAGGTAATTAAGTATTTTCTTAATGATTTAACTTCAATAATAAAGTTAGCAATAATCGTGACTATAATCATTAACGTATGAGAAAATCAGTTACATTTTAGCACGTGCTGTTATATGTGATAAATTATTCTACAGTTAAAACACTTTAAGCAATATGTTAGCCAAACATTTTTATTCAATTATTCAATCGGAGGAAAATACCATAACTTTTTATATGAAAGAGGACTTATTAAAATTGATACGCCTCCTTATGTTTACTGTGGCTCATAAACAAAATTCTATAATTACAAAGAAAGAAAAAAAGAACGTACCAAAACTTTTAATTTAAAACACATATCTATTCACATATTATATTGTAATACACTAATTCACCTAAATAATATAATACATTAATGCTTATTTTTATATTAACACGTATAGTAGACAAGTAGAAACGGGCAGTAGACTGCATACAACAAGAATACCATAATTTTAATCATTTTTAACACAGCAATTAAATTTTATGCAATATAAAACAACACATCTAAATCATCAAAATGTAATATAAAATTAGAATATGTATACTGTGGTATATGATTAAACTCAATATTTATAGTTCATTTAGAAAATTAAATTAGAAGTCATTAGTCAAGATAAAAATTTATATTCAAATAATTTACAATCAATTATCACATAATATGTGATAATATGATATGATATCAATCAATAGTTTATTCATGAATATGTTATTGACATATATTTATTTATAATATACTATTAGAATTAGTTTTTATAATTAATTACAAGACATGTAAATAAGAGATCCAAATCAATATGTGTTAGAAGTTTAATACTCGTTTTTGTTGGATAGAAAAAAAAAATTGAATATTTATGAAAACATATAAAAATAATAAATAAAATCATTTTGAAAAATAATTGAAAGAAAATTATGGCAATTGAACCAATACGCTAGAATGAAAAAAAAATCATTATCAAAAGAAATATCTGAAAAAATAAATGAAAATAAAACAACTAATAAATAGTGGACATCAACACACATAAAAAAAAAAAGTAAGTTTACTTTAAATAATAACACTCAATAAACAGTAGTCTATTCATATTTATAAACAGTACTCAAATGAATGTTAACATATAAGTATTTAAATCATTATGAATAGCCATTACATTGGTCTTTAGTGAAAATGATTGTTCAAAATTGTAGAGCTATATAAAATCAATTAATTGAGCAGATAGTTTGTAGTACTAGTTTGACAAAGCACACGGTGCAATTGTAGTGGAGAAGTTTACAATAAGAGAAGATGAATATGAATGTGGTGCAAGAAAAAATCAACAAAAAACAATTTTACAGTTTAACCTAAGGGTTTTGAAAATTTTAGCAAACTCGCAGAATATACAAAAGGGACAGGAAAATTTCTGAAAATAAAACTTCTGGATGATTTGGAATAAAATATGAAGAATAGGGAAGTAAGGATCATAATGCGCTAAAAGTCTCGCGTGCACAAGGTGACTGCAGCTCGGATTTTATATTGCATACCGCGTGTCCCTTTTGCTACTAGACGGGCCGCGGTCGTATAACTTTCGTGAGGAGGACGGGCGCGGTGTGTACGACGTTCCGATCGCTTTTCGTTACGTCCTTAAATTTCGCCCCTCCGCCCATTTTCCCGGCCACGCAGCACGTTCGCGTCCACGAAGAATGACTCCTCCCTCCCATTAATATCAGACGCGCACATTCACACACCAGTGGCAAGCAAACGCGCGCGTCCCGAGTTGCAGAATTTGCGGCGAAATTGGCGGGTGAATCAGAATAACGGGCGCGAAAAAACAACAAGAAAATGAAATTGACGTAACTACCTTCAAGGTCGTATAAGGAAAAAGCGTCCTATTTGATATACACAGTTATTATAGCAATCATACGGTCGCCACTGCTAGCCCCCAATCCCGGACGAAAGCGTCGATCTTTTAGGCGAGAGGGCCTAAATCTTACCTTTTGGTTGTCCTTGTCATCGTCCACGTCGCTCATCGACTCCTTGATGTCGTCGTCCTGTTGATTGTCCGCCTCCATCACGAACACGGCAGGCGGTGTCCGTCGATGGTTCTCGTACGATCCGGTTCGTAAGAACGGCACAAGTATAACGCGACGAATCGGTAATCAAAACACGAACACATACGCGGTATCCGTAAACCGATTCACTTGAATGTTTATATTAGTTTCGAACACAATCGTCGTGAAAGTCAGCAGCTCTCAAAACTCGTAATTATTCAGTACCACTGCTTTTACGATATGTATATTTTTATCACTGACGTGTACCCACGTATATACTAAGCGAACACGATGTAAACAAAATAATACTTTCACGACGATGCACACATAATATGAATTTAATTTCGGTTATTATATTAAATGAGGAAAAATTAACAACAATAATAATAACAACAACAATATAATTCAAGAAACGGTATGAGGCGGTGTCGAAAAGCGGAGCCAGATAATGCGGACCAAGCCCAAATGTCCCCGATTGGCAGTAGGCCTCGCTCGCCCTACCCTACCGTCCGGGACTAGCACACACAAAAGGCGGCCGCTACGGTAATAGAACGTTACGGTATTTACCGTGCACCGGTTAAATTGTCGAAACACTCGTCAGACATTCCGATAATTCACGATCGATTTTACCCGTTAATCTGTAGTTTTCCACCCTTATCGTATTTGATAAGCGAAATTTTCGTCCCAGAAAATCGAGACGCACAAAAAATCCGAAAATTCTAAGTGCCCCATATTTACTACGTTTGAATTCCATAGACAAGGTTGGTATCTCTATACTGTGCACACATTCACACACACACACACACATGTACAATCCGAACATAACGAGTTACAACTGTGCGTCTATGACCGTACAATGGTTCGTAAAACCGTTTACTATCACTATTGTCACATTAAAAAATGTCGATCAATGATTAACTAAGTTAGCGTTTTGAACGGATGAGCAGTAACCGTCTATAGACACAAGGAAACTTTGATGCCTAAAGGATTTCAAATATAATTAGCTTCGTGTGTTTCGTGTAGTTTTTACTAGCGTGTCATCTGATGTCTTGAGAAAAATTTTCTAGTCGTGTACGAGATACCATGCCAATAACTAAACATTTTACGACCTTACGTCGATATATTTCAATTTTAACGTCGTTGCAATGACATAAATTGTTCGAATAACGATGTTCGATAACAGGCGAAAGATTCATGATTGGGAACCACTGTCCGACGTCGGCGTTGAATGCTGGCACCGACAACTATACGTTCCTTTCTAAAAAAGTTACTTCACGGCAGTGGCAATGTTGGTCTCGGTGGGCGGGGGCGTGGAGGCGGTCAACGTCACGCAACGTGTACGGCGGGCCCGCGGTCGTTCTTTCACCGTCAACACTGCCCTCGGGTGACCCACACCCACGGGTGCGCGCCCAACAGCCCGCCGACAACCCACCACCCCTTCACCACGCGGATGATGGGAGGGAATATTGCTTGCTAGGCGTTTCCCGGGGATCCGGCGGCAGACGGGCGCCGAAAACACATTGCCTTCGATGATTATTGTAGTGACGGTGGTCGCTGCTGCAGCAGACACGATAGCTGTTGGTTATCACTCGACCACCCATACGTTACGTTACGCGCTACGACGGCAACGTATACCCGTTAACGTTGTCATCGGTCACCACTCGATTATTTATACCCTTTTTTTTTCTTCTTTTTTTTTTATCTACTATCCTCATCTGCAACCGTATACGTTCTATCTAGTTGTTAGTACAAACTGGATACTTCGTACACAACAACCAACGAACATAGTTGTAGTGCTCTGTAGTAACCTGTTTTGATATTTTTATTCGTCGCATGTGTTACACAATAATACTAAATTACCATGTGACGATCCCTAAATCCGTTATTATGGTGTAGTATGATTTATAATATTCCGAACTGTTATTGTTGTTTGCACACACAAAAATACGGCCTAATTGGTAGGCCAAAAACACGAAAAAAATAATCATTAAACAAATCGAACAAATTGGTTGAATTCTCAGATTTCCAACAAAAATTGCCCTTTTTATCGACATAAGTATAGAAGAGTTTATGATAAGTGAGATAACATTGCTTTTTCTAAGCTGCTATGGTTTAATTAAAAAAAATAAAACGTTTTCAACAAAAAACACACATATTTACGATGATGTACCGATAACCTCCCGTACATTTATAACAACAATCCAACAATCGACAATATTGTTTCCCGTTCGTGGAATTTATACTCACTTCAAACACTATAGCTTACTTTTTTCCTTTCAATTCTAAAGCAGCGATTAGGTTTCGGTTCAAAGTTCGTTAAATGATGTTTAATATTATTAAAAACCTTGTTTAAATCACAAATTATAATTTAGTTCTAATTTTAAATTATGCGCTCTTTAAAAATATCTTTATTGCTCTGTTCTTTTGTTCGATCTACTATGAAATATGGTTTTGTCCTTTGGAATCCAATAACAGCTACTGTTATGTTGAAGATGAAACTTTTTTTTAGGAGCGCGTATTCGAAATAACAGGTGCAATACACAACATTATATACGGGTAGTCGAATAAACAACACTAAAATGTTCAACGGAGAATCTAATTTATTAAGCACCAAAGAACAAATAAAGTACATATGTATTATGCATTCTATAATCAATGGTTTAATTTAATACAAATTTAATTTATTCCTAGATAATTTATAAATAGCAATAGAAAATAAGAACTTCATCGTTGTCGCATCGATATATACGATAACGTATTTCTACGTAAATTTAGATAAAATTATGTCATTCTTCACTATCGGACAATAACTATAATAAATTTAATTTTTAACTATTTAGAGATTAGAATAACTGAAAATGTAGCTTGTATAATAGCGCTTAATATAAATTTAAGTTAATTATATTTAATTAAATTTATAAATACTTCAAAAGAAAAATAGTTTGGAAATAATATATTAATGTTAATAAACTTTAATGGGTAACGCCAAGTATTTCTAATCAATCTGGACTATAAGGGGACCTTCTTTAAATTCTTCTACACTAAAGCTTGGTGCAAAATGGTTCTGTTGCCCACCCCTTTGACGACGGCCCTGATATCAAACGAATATAATTATTATTAGTAAAATCAATGTATATTAAAATAGATTGAGGTAGTTCTTATAATATGTAATATTTATTAATTATAAATACTGCTATAACTCTAAGCAGTTATGTAGTCCAAAAAATACCAATTTATTTAAATAATTTTAATTTCTATTTCCATAAAAAATATAAATGTATAGATTTCAATTTTTTGTTAATATTTACAACTCTTTCCCACCACCATCATCTCAATCATAAAAATAATCATATCCAGACACGTTTCGAATCTCAACTGAATGTAGGGCAAAATCACTGATTCTAAGTACTATACTACAAGCAGTGCTCGACTTGGCAAAATTAAAGAAGGGGGACTCTGTTTGCTTAAAAAAAAATTGCATCCCCAAAACTTGTTAAGCGTTATAGTTATAACATCATACTAGTAGGGGGACGCTCAAATTTCTAAAAATTAGAAGGGGTACGCCGTCCCCCTGCGTCCCCCCTCAAGTCGAGCACTGACTACAAGATAATTAATAATATATTTATCAAATAATACTTTTAATTTGTTTTCTTATTTAAATAGGCAATAACAAAAAAAATGATATGAAGATCAATTCGTACAATGGAAATATTATAAAACCTGATTTCTTCGTATATAAAGAAACAGGAGGATAAAATAATTTCCCGTCTTGGAAATTATATAAATTATAAATAAGCGCTATAAATTGTATCTTGATATTATAAGTTCTTTGTACATAAGCATATAACCGAATATACAGGTATAATAGATATTTTTTAAAAAATATATAAAAAAAAATATATATATATATATACTATAAATTATATATTATATATTATATTATTATTATATATTATTATATTATATCATAAATATATTTTTTTATATTTTTTTTTCTTTTAAGATTATTAAAGATTTATATTGGACTGTTGGTGTGTGCGTAGGGGATGTAGAAAATGAGACCTTGAAAGCGACCTTTTTCCGTCCAGCGAGTGGTAGTAAAGTGGAAATCCCTAAAAGTACCGGGCGGTAAAGTGGGCTTAGCCCCCAAACTTGGCCATGGCCACCTATGCATAACATCCCAAAAATCCAGGACATTAAATTTCAAAATGTTATATTTTGTGACATAAATATTTTGTATGATGATAAATGTAATGTTAGTTAAGGTGGTGTGGGGGGACAAGCTCTCCACAGGTATGTTTGGTATGCATTTTTCAAGCCCTCCCCCTCTCCCGTGTAAAAAATTGAAATTGTACCTATGGTACCAATATAACATAATAATAAGTTTGTTTGAAACAATAGTTAACTACTAAAGTATTTTCTCGGATTGAATTCTCATTATTACAACTTATTATTTTATCATAGAGTAAATTATTATTTATCTCACATGCATCCGCATTTACTGATAATATAAAACATACGACAGTACACGAAGAAAAGAAGTCTAAACATTTTACCGATAATAATTAAACACAAATCGGCTAAATTTGAATTACTATAATTAAATACAATGTAGATAATAATTCAAGGGTATTATTTAATATATATACATAGTTTATAAAATATTAACTTATGTCTTATTGTATTGTATAAAATAAATAACAATATTAGTAACTTTATTTTCAACCGAAGAAAATTGATACTAGACCCAAAAAAGGTTAGCTACTCCTGCCATACAGGGCCGGATTTAACCATTGTGGCGCTTTAAGCACTAAGCAAATTACCACCTTTTAATATAAATATTTTTCTGGTCTAAAAAATGTTATTAAAGCATACAATTATAGTTTTCCTTTGTTACTTATAATTTTAATGATGTAAAATAAAAATATACAGCTGTTATAAAAATGTATACATACATTCGTATAAAAAACATGGTAGTAAAAAATGCTTAATAATTAATTTTTAAACTATATTCAAAATTAAATACTGTCTAGTACCCATTTACTACTAACCTTTCTGCGCGACTTTTGAGTCGCAAACCCATTTATTATGGCATCGAAGTCCTTTTTGTTCACTAGTTCAATTTCAATTGCCGATGAACTCAGTGAATTTAGTTTATCTCCTTCCATACTCCAATAATTTTTTACGTGTTTTAACGTAGGAAAGAACTTTCGGCTGAACAGTTAGTTATTGCCATACATAAAAGCTTACATAGAGCAATATGCATAGGTTTGACATTTATCAGTTAGTGGTTCAAGCAGTGGCGTAACTGGTAAAAAACTTAGGGGGGTAATATAATATATTTATTATTACCAAAACCCTGACACCCCTACCCCTCATCAGTTTAAACATATTTTTATTGTATGTATTTTATACATTATACCTATCTAATTGTTTGATTTTACGTAAAACTTACTTATTTTACATTTTTACTTTATAAGTCTTTTAACTCATTTTATGGTTTAGATAAACATAAATTGTAGATAGCATGTACTAGGTACCAATATTGTTAAATAATATCCATTAGAGTTCATTAATAAAAGGTGCTATTTGTACTGTTGGATTATCTGGGGGGGGGATTATACCTTTATCTCTCAAAAAATGGTCAGAGGGGGCACTTGCCCTCTCACAATTACGACACTGGGTTCAAGCATAGTTAATACCACCCACCCACCGACCAAAAAGTCATACTAGGTACAAAAACTTACCTAATTTTTATTAAATTACCAATTTTATATTACCTACCGCTGCTAGACGCCAAGACCAAGTACACACCTATTAAAATGACACCCAACCCAAAATTGTTGGTGGTTCTGTAAACCACAAAATTCCTAATCAAGCCGCCCCTGGCAATATGTACGTTAGGGAAAACTGTATCTACATTTTTATCACGTTAAATTATTGATAACTCGATAACTCCATCAATATTTTTATTTATATTTTGAAGATATGCTCGAAAATGAATACATTCACAAGCGACTGATTTTTCTAAATCATCGTTATAAAATTCTTGAAGCTTATTAGCTTTTTGAGTTATTTCTTTAGGTGAAAGTAGTATTAAATTAGTCAAAAAGTCATATTTGTCAAATGTATTAATATAAGCAGCGCATTTCTTTCCAATTTCACTTTTCACATGATCCAGTATGGTAAAATATGTTTTTATTCTTAACTTATCACTTTCATTCATATGAACTTAATTTTCTTTTGTCTCACCTGCTTGAATTTTGCATTTTTTAGTCCTAACCAGCGCTCAGCTATTAGTCGATTTATCTTGAATCATCAAGATGGATACCTACTGGAACGCGTAATTCTCAATTACTCCTGTGCTACGAAAACGAGCTACGCTTCAAACGTTACTACTATAGGACAAAAAGAATGTCAATTAACTAGCGAACATTTAAAAAAATCTAAACACCTCGTAACAATTTATATACTTCTACTGCTCCGAATTGAAAAATTAAAAATTATTCAAACTTGTTAACAAGTCTACTATAATAAACTTGTAGATTTAATAATAATAATATTAATAAAATTAATGTAATAATATAACAATGTAGAAACTTATGCTATGAACAACTATCTTATTATCATCAGTCAATCCTTTGTATAATATTAGGTAAATTACTATTTCGCCAGTATTTCTTTAAAAATAAAAGTAGTTAATATCTTAGGTATTAAAATAATTTAGTATCAAAAAAAAACAAATTACCATATCTGTTGTAACTTGTAAATAGGTAAAATAATTTTCCAAAACAAAAATACACTTAGTACATAATAATATTACTAATAAATAGTAAATACCTAATTTCTAAATTTAGAATATCAAGGTAAAATATTATTTTATGTGATCATTTGATATTTTCAGTTTAATAATAGTTAACATTACAAGTAGGTAAATAAATACACAAAAACAACTTTATTTATTTCAACATAACATTTTATTATATTACATATTATCTTTTTTAATAATACATTTTTACAGTTTGTGAATATAAATCAGTGCAGTATTTTGTTAATAGGTATTCTACATAATAGTTAATAATGAAATACATGTTGTTCTTACATCATCTAAATTAATACATGATTTTTTTATACATTTCGAAATGAAAAAAAAATGTTGTTAATTTTTATCATTGTTATGAGCTTGCATTCATTAGTCAGACAATACACGCACATAAGAATGTAAAAATCAGGGGGTAATATTAAATATAAACCTACACATTCACAGGAAATGCATTTATAGATACACATCATAGGTGCAATTTCAGTTTTTAACTTGGAGGAGCTTAACATATTTAAATAAAACAGACCTGTGGGGGGTTCTGCCCCCCAACACCCCCCATTCACTACCGATATGGCGATATAATATTTTTCTCACCCACTTTCCTACATTTAATATATTATAATAAATTTATTAATAAAACTAAAAATATTTGTAAGAAAAAATAACAACATTTACGTAAATAAATGTAATATATTATATTTATTTATTAAATATATTATTATAATTGGAACCTTCGGTTAGAAATTGCAAATTTATCTAATATATTTCGCTAAAAAATTCATTCGATAAATCTTGTTCTATATAAATTAATGACAAATCTGAGGAATCTATCTTGATTCATAGATGTTCGAAGCCAATTTTTAATCTTTCTCATTGTTGAAAATGATCTTTCAAATGTTGCAGAGCTAATTGGAATTGTTAAAGATAATCATAACAGTTTATATAAATTAGGATAAAGCTCTGCATCCAAGATTGATTTGATATCTTCCAAAGTGAAACTGGGGTTTATACGGATCACACAGTTTTTTACCACAAGTATTTCTGATTGAAGTGTATTTACATCCACATTTAATAGGTCCTAAAAATTAAATCATAAAAATTGATCAACATATATATATTAATATAAAACATTAAAATAAAAAACCATACTTTGTACTCTTCAATAAAACATTGAATCTCATTATAATTCATTTTATGAAAGTAATCAATAGATGTTGCCAATTCTAAGCTGTTAGATAAAAACCTCTTATTAAAATGTATTATTAAAGTGTCTATAATTTAATAATAATGAGTCCTCCAATAACTTTCTGTATATCAATTAAACTCATTTTGATTTTGTTGCTCAGAACTTGTAATTGCAAAAACATGAAAATCTTCTAAATTACTTGTTGATTGGCGTTGACGTTTACTTGTTTTACTATTGGGACCTTTAATAAATAATATAGATTAAACATTAGAATATTAGATATTTCCAACTAGATACCTAGGTGTTTATAACATAATACAGTAACAATAATTAACTTATAAAAACTAAACTGTTCAAAAAACATAAAGTAACAAATGCTTAATGATAAAACAAGACACCTAATATTAATCCTGACCATAATTAGTAGGGTAACAACTGTTTTAAAAATCATTAATTAAATGCACCTATGTCCTATACATGTTGATGTTTATATTTATAAAATAGTTTAGGACAAACTTAAATAATTTTATTACCTGGGAAATCTGGTATTATATTATTGATTTTGATAAAATTATATATATATTGATTATATTTTCCCATATATTATGAAATTCAACTTCTGTGCATAAGGACTCAAAGGTTTTAATGACTTCTTCAATTAAAGTAACAGCGCTTCCTAATGTAGCATCTTTTTTTTTGTAGCTGATTAGACAATATATTTTTAATTTGTAATACTTCTTCCAAAATAATGAGATTAACAATAAATGATGGTTTAGTAATAATAGTCATAATGTCTATAAGATAATAAATTATGGTTTTATTATCTATATTTTATATTTAACAATAGTGATATAATAGTTGATTTTGAGTTATAATTCAAGTAAAATCAAAATTATTATTCTTATCCATGGCTTGTACAATATCTTTATTTATGGAAGAATTAATTTCATCATTTAACAATGTAACTATAGCTTTAAAGTTTAATTTTACCGCAACATAGTTTCTTACACGACAATTCCAACGTGTATCACTTAAAGACGCCAGAGAAGTTTTTTTGATACCTAATTTTACTTGAATCTCGGTGAATTTTGCATTATAAGCAGGGTGTGAAAAATAAACATACAACATCTCAAGACAATTAAATACTATTCTAGTATCCTATATATATAAAGAATAATTATTTTGCTTATAGTTATTTTTTCAAGCATTTTTATTAGCTATTACTTAATACATTAATGAGTATACATTTGTGTTATTAATATTATATTCCTTATACCTTTACCAATTTGCACATATCTAGAACAATTGATTTATACGATGTGCCATGCAATGAATGTATACAGCATACGGGTAATTTGATTTGATTTTTTGTTGTACTCCGTTGAATTTACTCGACATAACATTAGCACCGTCATATGCTTGGGCTACAATAGTTACATTTATTTTATTTATTTCAAAAAAACTGACCATAGCAGTAGCCAAAGCATCTGCATTTTGATTCTCAGACGCATAAAGAAAACCTAAAAATCGCTCATTAACTTTTAAATTCTTGGTATAACGTACACAAATTGACATTTGCTCTTGTCTGAAATTCTAAAAAGATAAAAAAATCCAAAATATAAAACCTATTTGATATTACCTATAATATACCTAATCAGTATGGCAGTATAGTTCACAGTATTAGTATTTCATTTTGATAATACCTTGCTTCATCACACATGACACTAAATAATCCACTTTCTGTTAGTTCATTAACAATTGAGTTTTTTATCATTTGAGCAGAAATGTTTATAAGGTTATTTTTGATTGACCAAATAGTATAATTGGTTTTTTCGTTGAATATAGTAGAAAATTCTTCAATACATTTAGACAGTATACAAGCTTCCTTAAAATTACCTTAAAACAAAATTATAGTATGGCATAAGAATAATATTTTATATTATATACTTTGAATTCCATTATTTTTATTATTATATTTTCATTATACCTTGGTTGATTGATGTTTTTTCTTCGTTATGTGCACGGAATGCTAGTCCTTGACGTCTCAAATACAAAACTACGTCAATCAGATTTTTTTTATATATAAGCTCTATTTTTTAATACTATTTCACAATATGCATTTGCCATCTGAGTGTGTACAGAACCTGATTTTAAGTTCTGAGTATATGAGGCCCATTTTTCTGAATTAATCAAATGTTTAGTTGTAGCATGAATTTCTAATTTTGACTTTTAATTAAATTTGGAAATCTTAGAAATGGATCCACTTATCTAATTAAAAATATTAATACATAATTTAACATTTTATGTAAATAAAAGAAAAAATCAACAAGCTTAAATCTATTTGGAATAATTATAAAAAAAATAAAACATACCTTTTTCCAATTTCTAAACCCTTAGGTAATAAAAGTATCTTCTGACTTCCCAGTTCCAAAAACTTTGCATGAATAGCAAAATACAGCATCTCTTTGAATACTGTATTCAAGCCAAGGAAAACCATCAAACAATTTAGATGAAAATCCTCCGTTTTATTTGCCAAAAACAGTTTTTGGATATGTTTAAAGTTAATAATTAAGCAATGGATTATAACTAGGTTATTACTGATTATATTAATTATAAGTTATAACTCATAACATTAATAATTACTTATGACATAACTTATAACATTAAAACTAGTGAAATACCTTTATTTTTCTTAAAAATAAAACATAACTTTCTGTATAATGAGTAGGGCTAGGGACTTCAAGCCCTTAAAAACCTTAAAATATGTATGCATTTATGCCCTAGAGAATCAATAAATATGCTATTAAAATATGCATTAAAAAAAAATTATATTTGTAATAATTAATTAAATAAAAAAATTAATTAGTAATAAATTATAATAATATTTTTATATCTGATAGATATGATGATCTGAGATAATTTTTTCTTTTTTTCAAATTTGTTTTCATCTTATATTGAGTTTTTATCTAAAACAAAATATTTAAAATAGTTTTAAAAATAAATTAAATTGAAAAAAATTTTTATTTTTAATATAGTTATAATTACATTGGACTATAAGATATTTTCTTAAATTGGAAAATTTAAATGACTGCCTGTTATCAGCCAAAATATTTTTATATTTAGAAAAGGAACGTTACACGTCTACGGAACTTATTGGTGCAAACTTAAAAAATGGTAAGTCACTACTACTAATATCTGCAAACAATCCATCCATAGATTCATTTTTTCCATTTAAAATGTTGGATATTTTTTATAGTTGATCAAATTCAACCTTTTTCTCCCAACATTTTTAATTTTGTCATTAAATGCCTTAGCTTGGGCAGATTTTTCAATTTTTGCAAAATGTTTTTTGTCGTTTTAATTATTTTAATGCATTCAGTTAGTGCACCAATAAGACACCTTGAGTTCCAAGTCGCGTGATATATGAAGAAATAAATCATAATTTTTTTTTATAAAATTTAAAAACTTACTCCTTCATATGAATAATTGTCAAATATGCACTTATAAATGAAAAATGGTCAAATATGCAAAATATGCAACTATAAATTTTAAATGTAAACTTGTATTGCTATGAAATAAATTTATATATTACATAGTTATGTTTTTGATAATTATTTAAAAACATGCAAGTTCCTAGAAGTCTCGAGCCCTAATAATGAGTAATGACCACGTAATGTTTATAAATTAATTTATGAAAGCATACTTGTAATTTTGGGTAAATCGGGCCTGTATTTATATTCCCGATATCAATACTCTCAGAAGGTAACTTTTGTACATCCAGTAAAACAGGTGAATCATCAGGGTCAACTTTAGCAACAGAATTATTTTCAAATGTTTCCTGGGGCTCATTATTTTCACATAAGGATTCATTTTTATCACTTTAAAATTGAAAATACAAAATACTTTATTTTTATCCATTTTCATTATTTGCTAGTTTTTAGTAGTAAAAGCAGTACAATAGGTATATTACAAAAACGATATAAAATTATTGTGAATGATAATTATTATTGTTGACTATTGAAAATTATAACTAATAAACCAATGAACAATAGCGTTATAAGTACTTAAGATTTAATCTTTATTAGGATGACTGGAGTTATAGAAAAACCAAAACCAATTCTAAAAATAAACTAGGTACTATCAGTTTATTGACTATTTAATACGAGTTAGTATCAAACGAGCTTGGAAAGATAAAGCTAAACAAACTCTGGTTAGTATATGTTTAAGTCATAGATAATATAAAAATTCTTAATTGTGATTTGTGTTACTATTAAACTTGTTCATGCAACTTAGTATTTAGTATTTACTACAGGTTTATCACTACTGCAATACTGCTGCTCGTTTAAGTAAAAGTGTAGTTATAACATAAGATATATAATGGATTGGAGTCGGTCTATCTTAAGTAACTTTATCAATCATTATAGATCTAAAGAGTGTCTGTGGAAAATTAGCTCAGATGAATATAAAAATAAATAAAAGTTATATACAGCAACGAACCGGCGGTAACAATTTTTTTTTGTTCATACTTATCCTATTCATTTTTATTCTGTTATCCATTGTAGATTACAGGCACGTAAAAATGTCGATTGAAAAAACTTCGTTTTAGCTAAATTACACAATTTAAAATACCGTGGTCTTTTAAGACTTACTAAAAGATCAGTGGATCTAGCCCTGCGGATCAAATCCTATGAAAACTACCAAAAAATGACTCCATACATGAACGGATTAGGTCTTTTGAGAGATCCGATCCTTTTTATTTAAAGGATATTTATTTTAACGTTAGTGGTAGTACAGAGGATCAAGTCCGCGGACCAAATTCATCGAAGACCTACGGATTTAATCCATCAGACCTTTCAAAAATCTGCTCGTTTATGGCGGGTAATTGAGACTGAAACTTTCAAAGCTGGGCATTAACAAGTTAAAAGTTAAAATTAAGTTAAAACGTTAAGTTAATTAACTCGTTACTTTTTTTACAAATTATCTAAACTTAATAAGTTACTTTATTTTAAGATTAACGTGTTAAGTTAATTTTATTTAAAAGTAGCTAAATTAAGTTAATTTTAATGTAAGGAATAATGCAAATTATTAAATGAAGTTTTTAGTATATTTATAATTAACTATTTTAATATGAATTTCCTGTTGACGAAAATAATGTAAAAAATAACTTTAATAGTCATTATATGGATTATATTTTATCATTATTTTTTTTTATAACATTGTTATCGTATAAACACTATAAACCCATGGAAATCCTAAGAATATTCTGTGAAAATCGAGAGCGAGTGTCGATGGGGGATTAATCACAAAACAACTGTGGTATAATTTCTAATTTAATTTCATTATTCAATTAGCATGTGTTCTGTTCACAACTCATTATTATTTATTATGTATTGTTATTAGTTTATTACTTTATTAGCTTATTGTATTTCTGTGAAAGTTTATTATTTTTGATTTTTGATTTTTTTATAGCTAGTTAATACTTTTATGTATCATTTTAAATTTCCCCAGTAATTTTCTTGAGCGTATAAAAAACTAATATTATGTGTGTAATTTTTTATTTTTGCAAATTAGAAAATTTTAACTTTAAACTAAGTTAAGTTACTTTTTTCCAAAGTTAAATTTTAACTTAACTAGTTAACCAAAAAAATATAAGTAACTTTTAATTTAACTTAACTTTATTATTTTAAAATAACTTAACAAGTTAAAAAAAAGTCGTTAACTTGCCCAGCCCTGGAAATAGGAATGATAAACAAGCCGACCTTGCGCAGCGTACCACACCGTCTAGAAAGTAATTGTTTTTGTAATACGGGTAAATAAGGTCTAATCATATTTCACGGGCTCGTTTCATGTTTACAGAATTAAACTTTAGAAATAATTTTTTTCAAACAACATTTGCTGTATTATGTAGATTAGATAACTAATGAAGGATTTAATACTTTAATTTAAATATAAATGTTTGAAGGGGCTAATTTTAATATTGGAGGGGTTAAGCCCCTCCAAGTCCCCCCCAAATTGCACCTATGATACACATACGAGTAGATGATTTTATATAATATAAAGATATATAAAGAACATTTATTTTTGAATACTTCTTTTTTTTTAGTCTTTTAAAGGAAATTTAAAATCATAAGTCCGTTTTATTAAAAACCAGAAAACGATATATATTTTTTTTTTTAATTAATAGCAAAATGTATTGCACTTATCGTTGAAAATGTATACCACTTTTTTTTTATTCCTATTTGTACACTTATACGCTGAAAATGATATAACCATAGTAACTATATTAAATATTTATTATTATAGACATATCTACTATAGCAATTATAACACTATAAATTATGAAAAATGAATTGGAGAGCATAAACATCAAATTAAGTGTGGAATATCAAGAGAGACAATAGGGTCTCAAAACCTAAATTTGATAAGTACCTACATGAATACTTAGCCACTATGGCTGTTCATCGTGGGGTTGTCAATATGACCGCAGACAAACAGTCATGCAGTCGTAATTTATTTGCTTTTATTTCTAATTTCATCTTCATTACTGTAGTAATTTTGCGTTCTGCTGTTCTACATATATATTATATTAGATACACAAACATATTTTAAAATAGCATAGTTGCAAGTTTTTACGTAAACAAGGATACCTATCAAATAAAACATTATATATTTATTATTTAAAATAGTCAAATAAATATACTATCAAACTAAAAATCGTAAAAACTACACATAAGGAATAAATAAATACATGACAATGCTTGTTAGTCAATTTTCTCGCGGTGATACTGCTAGTTCTTCGTGTATAGTTGTATAAATGTATTTCTTAATAACCTGTAGTTTGGTAATTTGTTCAGCATTAAGTGCCATTCTCGGTGTAAAAATCGATGATGATGATAAAGTATCCGATTGGTTAAATCAAAAGGAAAACAGCCCATCACTCATTCAATTTACCGACGTTTCTACCGAAAAAATGATTAGGTTTTTTAAGAAATTGGATTGGCTTCGACGACAATACCAGCAGGATCGAGTGAAATCAAACCACCCGCGGTTATTTCAACCTAAACGAGGTTGTACACCTTTTGCAGAAAAATCTGTGGAAGAAAATGACTATAGTACTGTGCAACATGTTCTATCGCCTCCACTGCTTTTCCCGGACGATGACCATAAAACACATTGCAAGGGTAATGAAATATTTTGATACAGCGTTGGTACCAGCATTGATTGTATAGACTAATTTTTATAATCAAATGATTCCAAATGTATAATTTTTACAAACTCTCCGTTTTACATGTATCGATCTCATACATATTAAGTGTTAGTTTTGTTTACAGGAGAAGAAAAATTTTCTTTACCAACCATTCAAACCAGATGGTCGGTACCTCCTTCCTAGTATTTTAACTTTTGCCACATAAGGCGCAATTATTATTAGATTCTTGTAAGGTTCTTATAAGACTGGCTAGGTTTTGTATATTTTAGTCTTATAGAAATGGAAGAATGACTGACTACACATGACAATAAATTAGTTTTTATGAAAATAATTTAATCATAATTCATTTCAGCGGAGTCTTTTGAAAATCACAAATCAAACGTAATGCAGTTATCTCAAAATGTCT